TTTTCCTTCATTTGAATCCTGGTGAATCTGACAGTTATGTGCCTTGGGGTGGTCTTCTTGAGGAATATCTTTGTGGTGTTCTCTGTATTTCCTGGGGTTGAATATTGGCCTGGCTTGCTAGGTTGGGGAAGTTTTCCTCGATAATACCCTGAAGAGTGTTTTCCAGCTTGGATTCATTCTCTCTGTCACATTCAGGTACGCCTATCAAAGGTAGATGAGGACTTTTCACATAATCCCATATTTCTTGGAGGCTTTGTTCATTTCTTTTCACTCTTTTTTCTCTAATCTTGCCTTCTTGTTTTATTTCATTGAGTTAATATTCAATCTCTGATATCCTTTCTTCTGCTTGGTCAATTCAGCTATTGAAACTTGTGTATGCTTTGTGAAGTTCCTGTGTTGTGTTTTTCAGCTCCGTCAGGCCATTTATATTCTTCTCTAAGTTGTTTATTCTAGTTAGCATTTCGTGTAACCTTATTTCAAAGTTCTTAGTTTCTTTGCTTTGGGTTAGAACATGTTCTTTAAGCTCAGAGAAGTTTGTTATTACCCACCTTCTGAAGCCTGTTTTTGCCAATTCATCAGACTCATTCTTCATCCAACTTTGTTCCCTTACTTGTGAGGAGTTCTGATCCCTTGGAGGATGAGAGGCATTCTGGTTTTTGGTGTTTTCATCCTTTTTGTGCTGGTTTCTTCCCATCTTCATGGATTTATTTACCTGTGTTCTTTGTAGTTGGTGACTTTTAGATGGGGTCTCTGAGTGGTCGTCTTTTTTGTTGATGTTGAAGCTATTTCTTTCTGTTTTTTAGTTTTCCTTCTAATAGTCAGGCCACTCTGCTGTAGAACTACTGGAAGTCCACTCTAGACCCTGCTTGCCTGGGGATCACCTGCGGGGGCTGCGGAATAGTAAGGGTTGCTGCTGGTTTCTTCTTCTGATATGTTTGTCCTAGAAGGATGCCCGCCAGAGTCAGCCTGAGCTCTTTTTTATGAGGTGTCTCTTTGGATATATGGGGATTGGGGATCTGTTTGAGGAGCCAGTGTGTCCCTTATAGGAGCTCAAGTGCTATGCTGTGAGCTCTGTTGTTCAATTCAGAGTTGCTAGGCAGGTACATTTAAGTCTACTGCAGTAGAACTCATAACTGCCTCTTTTCCCAGGTGGTCAATCCTAGGAAGGTAGGGCTTTATTTATAAGTTTTTGATGTGTTGCTGCGTTTTTTCTGAGATGCCCTGCCCCTAAGGAGGTAGTCTAGTCACAGTCTGCCAGCAGAGATGTTTCTGAGCTGCCTCGGGCTCTGCCCAACTGCTGTGTTAACTTCCTTGTGGTTTTGTTTACAGAGCTGTAGTTAGAACTGCCTCTGTAATGGTGGTCTGCCTCTATAATGGTGGACTGCTTCTGTAATTGCTGACTGCCTCAGTAATGGAGGATGCCTTTCCCCCCACTGAGCTGGACTGTCCCGGGTCCAGCTGTGCTTGCTGCAGAAGTCTCAATCCAGAGCATTTCAGATTGCTGGTGTTTATGGGGGTGGGACCTGCCGAGCCAGATCACCTGGCTCCCTGTTTCAGCCCCCTCTTTTTCAGTTGAATGGGTGGCTCTCTCCCAGGCCTTCCAGGTGCCAGTTGAAATGGCCGCCCAGATTTGTGTGAGTTTTTGTGCGGAAACCTGCGGCACTGGCTGAAACAGCTGTGTTGGAGACTCTTGGTACTTTTCAGTCTGGGAATCTCCCAGTCTGTGGGTTGTAAAAACTCATTTGGGAATTTGGTGATCACTTATCCTCTGCATTGTTCTTGCTGGGAACTGCACTCCAGAGCTGTTCCTATTCAGCCATCTTGGATCTCCTATCCTGGATTTTTATTTGAAGTACAATTTCAGTGAGTCATTTTTTCATTGGGTGTACTTTTACATATAAAAAACGTAATTGTAGGTGTATTATGTTACTTCCTGGGTGTCTTCTAGGAATTTTGATCTGCAAAACTGAATATTCTGTTAAAGTTATTTCTTGATTTAGTTGGTATTTTGGAATATCTCCTGAAATGACTTTCAAAATGACCAAACCTATGTATTTTTTTCTTATTACAGTTAAAAGTCTGTTTTTTTTCATATTTTTTCTATGTCCAGGGCCATTTCAAAACTTGCCAAATTACCAAACCCACATTTTTTTTCCTTATTACAATTAAAAATCTATTTTTTTGTTAATTTTTCTATGTCCAGGGCTATGTCAAACTTTCCATAGTTTGTTCTTATTTATCACTGTCTGAATGATATCTACAATTTTCAACTCTTACCTATAGACATTATTCTTTTACCATATAATGGAATAATTTCACAGTTTATTTAGGGGAGCTGAGAGGGTAGCCTTATATTTTAGAGATGTAGCCTGATGAATTTACAGATGAACTGTCATGATGTTTGGGATGTGTTTTTAAAATACTCAGTTTAAAAAAAGGAAGACAGTATTAACGTCCGGAGTTTATTTAATAGTAATGTACCACTGTTAACTTCTTAGTTTCAGCAAATGTACTGTGGTTCTCTTAAGTCATTTATATTAGAGGAAACTGTCTGAATGGCATATGGAACTCTGTGTACTATTTTGCAGCTTCTCTGTAAATTGGAAATTACCCTAATAAAAAGTTTATTTAAAAGAAAGAATAAAAGGGTGGTGATAAATAAAGCAAAGATGGAAAAATGTTGAAAGTGGTTGAAACTGGTTGAATGGTTGAGGGTTATGTGTTCCTTTCTTGGGTAAGCAGAGCTTTGCAGATCTTTTTTCCAGGTGCCTGGGTGTCAGAGCACGACACTAAGCCTCAGCTTCTTTACTCTGTTGTTCCTGTGACCTTGGTTTCACAGTTCTTCCCTGCATTTAACGTTCTGCTTCCTTGGAAGAAAGAGCTTAAATTATTTTCAGTGACCAAGTGTCATAATGAATCATGAGATAATTTAACTGTAATGTCTCATGAAAGAATTCCTAGTAGGATACATTTATTTAATAGCTTTGTATCACAAGTTGCACTAAACTCTATTACCATGAGTGCAATTCAGAAGAAGCCAAAGGATATGCTACTATAACACTGACATTAGGAATGCTACTAAGAGTCTGTTTTTTTTTTCCCCTTAATAAAAAGAAAACATCTGTCTAGCTTGTCATGTATGTGAGAAGACTATAAAAATATGGTTAAGAAAAATGTTGTCTGTCTCCCCATCTCTCCTATGGGGCCCTACTAAGTGAAGAGTAAGGAAAAGAGGAATAAAGGGGGCTTGACCAAAGATTCAGAAAAATAGTCTCATGATGCTATTCTATGAATAATATCTTGATTTGCCCATTAGTGAAGCATGTTTCTTAGACTACCAACAAACACAGGTTCTAATGGATAGGCATTCTACAAGCCTCCAACTGAGGTAAGTCATTTACACTGTGTCAGATGTGTGAGGCTGCTGGAGTTTCTGTCATTACCATTAGCTAGCTAGAATTGTATAGCATTACCTTGTACATTTTTTAATAGGCACTTTATGCATTTTCTCATTTATTAGTCACTTCAGAGTCAAAGTATATTTATGAAATTTTAGATAGGATTTTCAAGCTTCAGAAAGTAATTTGTGAAATAGAAAAATGAGTTTGGAATTCAACTTGTTTCCTAGCTTCCAGGAACACCATTTCTTAATCATTGCAGCTAATACAAATGGATTTACCAGCTGTTTTTTTTTTTTTTTTTTTTTTTTGTGATAGAGTTTCACTCTTGTTGCCCAGGCTGGAGTGTAATGGTGCAATCTTGGCTCACTGCAACCTTCACCTGCTGTGTTCAAGCAGTTCTCCTCCCTCAGCCTCCCAAGTAGCTGAGATTACAGGCATGCGCCACCACACCTGGCTAAATTTGTATTTTTAGTAAAGACAGGCTTTCTCCGTGTTGGTCAGTCTGGTCTCGAACTCCCAACCTCAGGTGATCTACCCACCTCTGCCTCCCAAAGTGCTGGGAGGTGAACTACTGTGCCCAGCCACTAGCTGTTTTTATATGGCTTTTTTTAACTAATTAAATAAAAAAAACACAAAGTCATCATGTATGCTTATCTAAATTTTTCCAATGTTCCTTTTCCTAATAAGTCTTTTATTTAATGAATGCTGTGTATTCTTTCTGCATCACCAGCAGTGGAAAGAATTTGATCAGAGATAGGCCTCTGAGAGCTGAAGTCACCTATACTTGTTTTTGTTTGTTTGTTTTTGAGACAGAGCCTCACTCTTTTTTCCCAGGCTGGAATCCAGTGGTGCATTCTCAGCTCAGTGCAACCTCCACCTCCCAGGTTCAAGCTGTTCTTCTGCCTCAGCCTCCCAAGTAGCTGAGATTATAGGTGTGCAGTAGCACATCTGGCAGAGTTTTGTGTTTTTAGTAGAGATGGGGTTTCACCATGTTGGCCAGGCTGATCTCTAACTCTTGACTTCAACCTTGGACTTTCAGAGTGCTGGGATTACAGGCATGAGCAACCATGCCCAGCTGGAGTTACCTATACTTTAAACTGGGGCACTGCGTGGAGTCAGGCTCATCTTTCTGGACCTGGCCAGCGCTAAGCAGCCCAGGCTATGCTACATTTCTAGCACAGCCTTGCTATGTGAAATCAGTGTGTCTGTTCTATAAAGACCACCTGACTGGTGCTGTTTTACCATTGATGTGCTATTGATGTGGTTTTCTAGTACCAAAACACTAGTTTCAGTAGTTAGTATAACTTAACAACTTCCTCTGAAATGTTAAAGGGCCTGTGTGTTTCATATTACTTCAAAATAGAAATGAGAAGTCACTAAATTTATTATTACAAACATTAGGAACCCTTTATTTATAACCTACAGGTAGAATATAAGTACATATAACACTTTAAAGGTTGTCTGTGGTCTTCAAGCCTTTTTATAAATAAAAGATTTTGGTTATTGTGTTAGAAAAAAATTAGACGTTAAAAATTAGAGGAGTAATGAGCTGAAAAGTTACCATCTTTTGAACTGATGGATTAAAAATAAATCAGGCACAAGTATTTTTATGTAAGCTGCATTCAAAAAAAGTAATCTGAAAGTCTTTAAAATTATGTTGCTGGTGGGCTTTCTGGTAACTTACATGGAAATGATTTTTCATATTTTTATCAAGAAGTCAGTTCTAGACATTTAAATGAATAACTCATGAATATCTTTGGGTTTCTATCATGGACCTATTGGATTTCAAGGATATTGCAGGATTTTATATTGGTTCAATGAGACTCTTTAGTTTTTTGTACAGATATTTGTGTTAATGAGTATCAACAAGCATAACAGTACAAGCTTGACTTGCATTTGGTAACAGGATTTCTAAGTAAACCAGTACATATTTGCTAATTACCTGTATTTTTTCATACTGAGTTTTTTTTTTCTCTTTCAAAACCATAAATTTATGATCCAGTAAGTCCAGAATTGGTAGCACAAAAAAATTCCTATGTTTTATGCATTATTTTCACATCTTAATTTTTCTTTCTGAGCCTTGGTCCCTTTAGGTGAGGCAAAAGTCTCAGTGACCTTTAAACGGAATGCTTTTGAGAGATGATAGTACAGGATAGGATCAAAGCACAGATTTGACACAGCCAGAAGCAGTGTGGCCTCTTTGGCTTTGAAGAGTGAAATCCTGGTTGAGCAATCAGTTATGACTTCTGTCTGGCTGAGGGTATATGGGATGCGGACAATATGATAAGGAACAAAGCATATGATGTAGCCTGTGGTCACTAAAAGTATGTTGATGAGGGCCTTTTTCACATTTGGGTAATTTTCATTATCTCTGTTTCTGTAGAGCTGTCGAATTACAAGGCAGTTGGATATTAAAATAATGGCTGAAAAATTTAAAAATATTGCTACACATATGAAATTGGTTAGCAAATGCCAGTTTCTTCCAAATTCGTTTTTAAACTCCATACAACCCACATTGGACTTTTCCTTGATGTCTTTGATGGGAATCATCATATTTGGCACCATTATGAGAAGGACCATTAGCCACACAACGGTTGATACCATTTTGGCAAATCCAGGTTCTTGTATTCGGTAGATCTTGCAGCTGTGTATCAACTGAAGACAGCGATCAATGCTGACAAATGCCAAGAAGATAATTGATAAGTACATATTGATATAGATGAGGCAGGCTGTTACTTGGCAGTGGAATATCTTCAGCTTCCAAGGTGCGACACCCAAGTCAACAACAATTTTCACCGGTAATGCCAGAGTAAGCAGGAAATCGGCTGTAAGCAAATTAATTAAGTAGATGCTCACACACCTGTGATTAGTATTCTTCTGTAGAAAAGCCCAGGTTGCAAAACAACTTCCGATAATTCCAACAAGGAAAACTAAATAAAAAAAATATGTGAATGGCTCCAGATCTTTATAAACTGGGCAGAAGAACGAACTATTTGTCATCTTGAGGGAAAGTAAGGATGACAGCTGATTGAAAAGAAAAATTTCTAAGACTCTGTAAAAGAAATAAGAGAAGGGAGGTTAGTAATTAAAATTAGCAGCTAGTTTGTTTAAAAGACATTTGTCCTCACAATGCCATTATCTTTCTAGTTCTTAGATATAATTTTATTGGTGAACTTACTAGACCATGTAGCCTGGTGAGAACACACTAGATTATGAAGAAGCCTGGGTTTTCCATTGTCTGGTTTTGTGACTTTCAGGAAATCCCATGCAGGTTTGCTTTTAGTAGGGATATTTTCAACCTCGGGTTTTTCCATTCAGGTAGTTCTTTTGTTACCAGTTGGTTTGGAAGTTAGTTTGCAGAGGAGATAAGTGAACTGAAATTCTGAGAAGTAGAAAGAGGAAACTACGTTTGTGGTTGAGCCTGAAGAGCCTTCAGTGAGGCCTTCTGTTTTTTTTTTCTTGTTCTGTTTTTTGTTTTCCATAGATTCATGTAGCTCCTCAGGCTAGGAGAACCCTGGCTGACAGGGGAGGTAAGGAGTTCATGGAAAATTGTAGTACAATTTTAAAAGTATTATTTAAAAATAGGTGTTTCATTGTGTAACCTATTGGAAGGTTTTCAAAAACAAAATTTACTTCGTTTTTCTTTTTAGCAAAAGGAGTTGAAGGGTTAGAATATGATCTTAAATTGATGCTTATTTCCTTCCTTTTCATTTCTTCAGTTTCTTAATGGCCTAGACCTCTTACAGCCAGTAATGTGGCCTCTACCAAGTGCAGCTATTGAACATTTGAAATACGTGCAGTCCAAAGCAACTTGTGCTGTAAATGCAAAATACAGGCTGAATTTTGAAGATTTAGTGTAAAATATTATAAAAAATAGTACAAGTAGTACAAATTATACTGTTTTATATAAGCAGTACAAAATTAAGTATCTTTAATATCTTACTAATATTTTTTATATTGAGCACATGTTGAAATGTTTTTTGGTATATTAGGTTAAATATGTTATTGACATAAATCTCTCTTGTTTACTTTTACTTTTAAAATACATTTGTTAGAAAAAAATTAAATTACCTTTGTAATTTGCATTATATTTCTATTGAACAGTACTGGTATAGATGTTTCTGTCAGTGCTTTTGAGTATTTTCATAAAAAATGTATTTTAAAAGCTACTAGAACATGGATGTATGTTCATTGATTACAAAATCCTTGGATAAAGATTTAGTTATATTAGTGTCAAAACATCTAACAATTGAATTGTTTTTTTTTTTTTTTCTTTCATTCTGGGCTTTGAAGCAGTTAAAAGCCGGGAAACATAAGACATTCCCCTTAGAATTCTATTTTAGCATGAAAAAATTTTATAGTACAATCTTTTTAAAGGTAGCAAATAGTAAGTTATGGTGACCAACATAGAAGGCCAAATCAGCTACTCTGAAAGCTTCCTTTAATAAGAGAGTAAAACTTCTGTCTTTCTAAAAATTCTCCCAACTATTTAATGAAGCTTTGTGTGCATTTGTAATGAAACAATATATGCAGATTATTAAGGCAGATGTACACAAAGCTTTCTAAATTCAAGTGCTACTTAAAGGCTACATGCCCTTTCTCTTTCACTACCTGAGTTAGCACCTTAGAGTTCATGAATAATGTCATCCTTTACCAAACTGAATGAAAATATTTAAGCACTTGCTTTGTATCTGACATTATGCTAAGTACTTTATGTGTACTTAACTTCTTTTCATTTCCATAAGGTAGGTGTTGTTATTGTCCCTGCTTTACAGATGAGGAAACTGAGGCATAATGGGGTTACATATCCAAAGTTATGTAGCTGGTAGGATACAAAGCCAGGATTCCACCTGAATCAGTCTGATCTCAGAACCACATTCAAAACCACTCCAAAACACTGCCTCAATAATAATAATAATAGTAGGTGATAGTAGTAATGATAATGGTGATGATGATGATGATGATGATGATGATGATTATATCTGCCAATCTTTATTAAGGGCTTACTGTGTGGGCAGGAATTATATTCTAATCAAGTTTTACATAATAAAGCTGAAATAAACGATTCATTTTTAACTTTTTACCAAAATACTAAGGAAATAAGTATAGGCTTTTCATGTATTTTGATGTTTTATGCATACATCCACACACACGCGCACGCGTGCGCGCACACACACACACACGTGCGTGTGAATGCACATTTAAAAACAAACCATAGGTCCTTTCCAATAAGTTTAAACCAGCTTTACTCTCAAAGCTCCCATAAACTAGTTTCTCTCTACCATCTTGACTATCTCTTAATCCCAGATTAAGATTGGGATTGGTAGGGTCTCTACTGTTCTGTGTACGGTTCCTTGCTGCTTTTATACTTTTACATGTGATAGAAATTTTGGGATCATAGGATTTTAAAAATGGATAGGATCTTTATAAATAGCTTCTAGTGGAATCCCCAAGTTAGTTGAGGAGATGGAGGGCTGGCTGTGGCTCCTCAACCTTTCGCAGAATGTTCAAGCAGGACTAGGATCTGCTCTTATTGATCATCATCTGAGCTCTCTGCCTTTATCCTGCCTATTCCTGAATCCTGCTTATTTCAGGGCTTTAAGGAAGCTCCTCATATCTGAAAACTACTCTAGGCTTTACCGATGTCCTTGGTGACCATGAATTTTGGTAGTTACCATTTATTTGAACCTTGGAATTTTGAACATACTTTATGTGAAAAACTAGTGTTGGTGTGCATTGATCATGTGTCACATCTTTGTTTACTGTTACTTTCTAAGGCCCTAGGATTTTGGCTTATGATTTTTCTTTTTCTTTTTTTTTAAATTTGAGACCAAGTCTTGATGCGTCACCAGGCTGGAGTACGGTAGTGTGATCTTGGCTCATTGCAACCTCTGCCTTCCAGGTTCAAGTGATCCTCCTGCCTCAGCCTCCTGAGTAGCTGGGACTACAGGCATGCACCACCACACCCAGCTAATTTTTTGTATTTTGAGTAGAGGCCGGGTTTCACCTAGTTGGCCAAGATGGTCTTGATCTCTTGACCTCATGATCTGCTGACTTCGGCCTCACAAAGTGTTAGGATTACAGGCATGAGCCACCGGGCCTGGCTTTGGCTTATGCTCTTTTATTTCAAATATTACATAATAATAGTGACATAATAATGTGTTACTTTAAGTGCTCCATTGCTTGCACAACTATAAAATAAGACTGTTATATCAATGAGGCTTATATGATAAAGAGAAGAATTAGAATAATTTCTTTTAATTTTCTCTGTAACTAGAACTGATGATATATACCATACATGAATAATTTATTGAAAAGGAATGGTTCAGTATTTCTTAAGAATCATGGAGCATCTCCCATTTCTCACATTTGCATTTATGAACTTTTGTTTAAATTACAGTGAAAAACAATTCTGTTTAAAATTTTTGCTTATGTAAATTTGAGGTTAAACAATCATATAATAACATCCTGTGTTCTGTGTCATGAGTTTGAGAACTGAGTGCTTAATAAATATTTTACTAGACAGTTATTTGCCAGTGAAAATGCGAGATACCCGGAAGTAGCCAGCAACATAAAAGATTTTAAGTGTCTCTGTATTTTGGATAGAGTGCCCATTGATTAGCAAATAAATAAACTGGGCACAGTGGCTCACGCCTGTAATCTCCACATTTTAGGAGGCTGAGGTGGGTGGATCACTTGAGGTCAGGAGTTCAAGACCAGCCTGGCCAAGATGGTAAAACCCTGTCTCTACTAAAAATACAAAAATTAGCTGGGTGTGGTAGCACACATCTGTAATCCCAGCTATTTGGGAGGCTGAGGCAGGTGAATTTCTTGAACCCAGGAGGTAGAGGTTACAGTGAGCTGAGATCTCACCACTGCGCTCTAGCCTGGGTGAAAAAGTGAGACTCCTTTTCGAAGAAAAAAAAAAGAAAATAAATAAACTTATTAGATGTTCTATGGGAGTCACAGTGGAATTTTCTTGAAATTATCTTTTGTAATGTTTATAGAGGAAAGTCATCTTAAGGGCTGCTGTTCCCTGTTGTGAAGATTTACAACATGGCCTCTATCTACCCAGTTATAACATTGAGTTACTGAATAGTTATGCTCACCCAGGTATTCAGTCTGGTGTCAGTTATGCTGTCTTTTGGAGACAGATGAATGGGTTCATTAGAGAAAAGAAAATATCATTCACAGCTAGGACCTATTTAGAGTTTAAAAATTGATGCTTTCTTATACAGCCTGACCTTTTCTATTTATAAGCTTTAAATACTAAAAATCACAAATTTGTTTTTCATGGAAAAGCATTTGAACATATTAAGTATTTAAAAAGACATACCTGGGGCTGTCTTCCGTGAGCCTCAGCAGGCCTTGCTGTACGTCTTCAGAGAAGCATGAGCTGTTTGGTTAGCCACAGCAGTAGCAGCCGCATTGCCGGCTGCTGGCTTTACTAAAAATTTCCTTTTCTTTTTGTGTGGTTTTAAAATGTTGCATATTGACGTAGATGAAACTGTGGTTTGCAAGTAGTTTAACTGTATTAAAGTCTCCTAAAGAAGTATTTTTTTTTGAATATATACAATTGTATATGTGCTTTCTTAAGCAATTCACTTGTCATAATTTTTAGAGAAAAGATCTTCGTTTGTGTATTTTAGTACCTAACCTTTTTTTTTAAAGTATCCAAGATATGTTCTATGTCATAATGATTTCAAAGATTATCACTCTTTATGCTTTGACAGGGATTAATAGTTAAAGATATAAGGTGTTTAAGCAAATGTTTCTTCAGTATACTAAAGTATACTTCATACATAGTAATGAAGCTTTTCAAAGTTAGAATTTAAAAAATAGTTGCAGTTTGTATCCTTGCTGAGACATGTATTATTAAAAAAACAAACAAAAAGATGTGTTTTACAGAGTCTGCTAGTGTATATGTTTTATTTATCTTCTTTTGTGTTCATTATAGAAAAATCTGGAAATAGAAATAAAAAAGGAACATCATTATGCAGAGAGATAATTACTGTTAATATTTTTGGTACATAAGTTTTAAATTTTTTCTATGCTTATATATATACCCACTTAAGTGTTATTCATACTATTTTATAGTTTATAATTTTTCGCTGAAGAATGTATTATATATTTTCAATTTATGAGACAACTTGTTATAAGTATTTGTCTATTTGACTCAAACAGCGTAATAAATTGAAATAGTATTTAGTAATTAATAAATTGTATATAAAGGAACCCTCTCGTATATTTAAATTGTTTGGTTAAATGTTCGTTGTGTTTTTTGCTGAACAAATGTTTATTGAATGTCTGAAAGGTGACTAGCATAGTGGGGGACCTAACAAACTTATTTTCAAGAGTTCTAAATTTTCTGATTCGAAGTTGATGTGTATAAATGCAAAGTTATTTCCTGGTTAGTTAGGGTCTGGTTTCTTCTAATGCTTCAGTGGCTTGGTAGGTGCTTTGATTTCTTTTAATAATACTTGGTCAGTTTTCTAGGTAAGAAAAATAAGATACCTTTCCAGGATCTAAAATGGATCCCTTGGTATTAGTTTTTAAAAAGAAAACTCTCTCAAAAGATGAAATGAGAAGTATCTAGCTAGGGAGAATTTAGAGAAAGTCTAAGGAGACTTTTGCAAAAAATGTAAGGATGCTTACGATGATATTGGTCATGTTTCAGGTATTCTGACATTCTCCTAAATTCATATGATTATTATTTGCCAGTGAGGACTATAAATTATAATCATGGAGGGAAAAAGCAAATATTTCTCCAACTTTTAATGTTAAGAACCAGTGTTAACTTTATCATCATAGGCTAGGAAAGGATCTTTCTTTTAAGATATGTATGCTTCATTGATGTACAGGACTCACTGAAGAACATGCTTGCAGAAAAGGCAAATTGCAGACAAGTAAGTGAGAAGTGACAAAACTGAAAAGTACAAGCAATTGCGCTTAAAAGTCCACTCAAGCCACAGTTTCTGTGTCTGGATTGCCAAATGTGAAAGCACTAAAGTGCCCTAGTTCTCAGAGCTCTATTTAATTTTTAGAATAATGGCAATTAATCTTTTAATAGAGAGATGAATCATATTCCTCCTTTTGAGAATGAGCTTAGCTAACCTGGCTTTGTGTGGAAGTTTATTCATAGTGGAAATATGTGTATTTTTCATTTTTTTTAATACAAGTTCCATTTGATTTTCTACAAGCCACTTTTTTCTGTCTGTTTCATTGAGGACAAGTATTTGTAACTATACTTAGTGTTCCAGGAAGTTGCATGTCATCACTAACATACCCAAGTGGGAAGAAGTGAGGTGAAGTTATTTTTCTCTTATTTTGGTCATGGCAGTACTTTTTGTTTAAGAAATAATTTCTTCATAACTTAAGAGTATTTCATGGATATTTTGTATGTGTAAAATAAAAATTAGAGCTAAATTGTCCCCCAAGTTATGACTTGAGAAAGAAAATATTTTCTATAGTCAACTCAACCTATCCATACAAAAGGTGCTTTTGATTTTATTGAACACAAATACCAAACAACAGTATTTCAGTAGAAATATTTGCTTTGAATGTTTAATGTTTTTAAAATTTGCTTTTGTGATATAGCATGGAAGCCATTTGGAACTAATAGGAAGGGGAAAGCGAATGTTGGAGTGGGTGGCCACTGCCAAAGCCAGGCACAAGTGTGAGGACCTGTTTTTTTTTTTTTTTTTTTTTTTTTTGAGACTGAGTTTCGCCCTTGTTACCCAGGCTGGAGTGCAATGGCGCGATCTCGGCTCACCGCAACCTCCGCCTCCTGGGCTCAGGCAATTCTCCTGCCTCAGCCTCCTGAGTAGCTGGGATTACAGGCACGTGCCACCATGCCCAGTTAATTTTTTGCACTTTTAGTAGAGACGGGGTTTCACCATGTTGACCAGGATGGTCTCGATCTCTCGACCTCGTGATCCACCCGCCTCGGCCTCCCAAAGTGCTGGGATTACAGGCTTGAGCCACCGCGCCCGGCTGAGGACCTGTTTTTTTAAAAGAAACTGAGATACAGGAGTTTCTGCCTCTTACAGATGGGGAAACTGAGGTACAAAGAAATTAAGGCCCACCCAAACCTGCACAGTTAGACCCTGGCTTCTCAGCTCTTAATTATGCTTCTTACAATGAAAGTGTTGGGGACAGTGATTACAGTGAAGGCCATCAAGTCACTCCAGGCCCCCTTCCGATTTAGTATTTGTAAGCATTTGAATTTGCGTGCCATTGGCTGGTGGAACAGTGTCCCACTGTTGTCACCTTACTCATGGAGTTTTCAATCTCCAGAATGTGAATTTAGGATGCTCTTAGATCAAAATAGTTTATGTCTGTATGATTTTTATGATCAGACACTTCTGCCACAACCTGTGCAACTTCAGAAGTCAGCCCTCTCTGTGGAGCCACTGTGTTTCAGGGTTATGTTTTGAAAGAAAATAATTTGTTTTTTGCACCTAATTCTCTTTCCCACCTGGATTAGCTCAGAGATTTTTTTCCGTGCTCTGAGATTGGTAGTTTTAAATCTGAGAGTGACAGATATGATTAGGCAGTGTAGTTTTAAAGTGAAATGCAGACATACAGTTTCCATGTTACTGTTTCTCTGTTATTTAAATTCTGCCTTGTTTTTTTCTCTTTAATGAAATGGAGAATACATATGTGGAAATGATTTGAAGGCAAAGGTTGTTTTTACACATTCTTGGAACGTGAACTCAGTTAAAAGAATGACTACGTACATTCCCCTGTCATTTCCCCTTGACAGTCCTTTGGTTGTCTGCCTTTTTAATTGACTCTGTCGTGTTACTGCATCAACATTTTACCTTTTGGTTGTGAGGTGTGACTGCTGGTTGGTCCATGGTTATAAAATAATTTATGGTGGGGAAGTTCATAATAAAGAACTTTTAAAGATTATCTTGTTTCTTTTTCATCACTGAATTTCATGCTTTTTTTTCCATTTTTGATTGTATATGGTCTGTTTCTAATGAACTTAAGAATAACATATCTTCAAAGCACAGAACACATTTTAAAAACTCTTCAATTACTTTCCAGGTGAATGTTCTTTGGAGAACATCTCCCTTTTCCTAGTCATTTGATTTTTATTTTATTTTTTTTAAAGACAGAGTCTTCTTATGTTGCCCAGGCTGTTATTCACAGGTCTGATCATAGCCTGCTACGATCAGGCTATGATCAGGCTGTGATCCCAAACTCCTTAGCTCAAAGCAGTCCTCTTGCATCAGCTTCCTGAGTAACTGGGACCACAGGTGCACAGCACTGGACCCAACCATGTGAATATTTCTTGACCAAGTATTTCTGAAAAATTATAACAGCAAATATTTATTGATTGCAGGCTGCCTCCTTAGCTCTTCTAGAGGATATTTTATACTTTGTGAAGGAGTAATAAGGAAATCTTATTAACTGCTATGTGCTGTTAGAACCTGTGGGAATCCAGGAAGTGTAGTGCTCCTGACCGAGGTGGGGTGGACGGGTGCTTCTTCAGATTGAGCTACAAGATAGTATGCTTGGGGGATGACACAGATGATTGGAGTATGAGAAATTTTGTGGGGGACTGTCAGACAATTTGGGGGTTTAGATGTCTCTGTGAGGAAAAGACTGAGACCAAATCTTGGATGGTCCCTGCGATTTTAATAAAGTAAGCGTTGGAGAGCTCATGGTTATACAAGGGAAGGAGCTGTCCATTCAGCTGTATTAGGTATATCTGCCAACATTGGAGTTTGCTTGGTTAGAGGAGAAAGTGGAAAATAAGAAACCAGTTAGGGAATGACTAGTTATTTTAAGTGAGAAGCAATAAGGGATGTGAAATTACATGGGAGGGTAGCAATAGCTGAGGACCACTGTGGAGGTGAAATCACTGTGTGGTGCAGTGGAGAGGGAGGAGAGGAGACTGAGCTTTCATTCCTGGGAAGGGAAGTCTGAGGAGAAAGGCAGGTTGGGCAGATAGAAAGGTGAATTTGGCTTATTGGGTTACAAATTTTTTATTTGAGATTTTAATTTTATTTTTCATTTAAGTTTTAAATATTTCTCATAGTTTTATCTGTCATTGACCAGAACATTCTGAATATGCTTTGTAAACACTTGAGCTCTTATTTTGAATAGCATTGACGGAAATGCTGGTTTTCTTGTTTAAAAAGAGCATTTTTCTTATTTTGCACCTGCTTTCATACTATTAGTCAGATAAAAACTACAGTTGGCCATGACTTTTTTTTTTTTTTTAATAGTTGCATGTTTTTCTTAACAAGAAAGTGAATTTGATGTGGATTGAAATTGGTTTTTATAAGGATTGCCTTCTCATGCAGTCAATATGGTATCAGAGCTAGTATTCCTTTAGAAAGATAGTGGTTAAAAGTAGAACATAACTAATAGCTTGAAAAAAGCTGCAACTTAAATGTAGAGACTCTTTTAGCTTAGAAAACAACATTGAGGCTGGGCGTGGTGGCTCATGCCTTTAATCCCAGCACTTTGGGAGGCTGAAGTGGGCGGATCACCAGAGGTCCGGAGTTTGACACCAGCCTAGCCAACATGGTGAAACTCTGTCTTTACTAAAAATAAAAAAATTAGCCAGGTGTGCTGGCGGGTTCCTGTTATCTCAGCTACTCGGGAGTCTGAGGCAGGAGAATCACTTAAACCCTGGAGGTGGAGGTTGCAGTGAGCTGAGATCACGCCACTGCACTCCAGCCTGGGTGACAAGAACAAGACTGTCTCAAACAAAACAAAACAAAACAAAAAACAGAACAGAACAGAACATCAAGCATTTAAGTAATATGTCATATTGTATGGATATGATGAGGGCCATGTTTCTGGGTGTTCATTTGTGTCAGGAAATGGAATGATAGGAAAGTAATCCCTTTGTCACGTACTTTCAGGGCAGGTGTAGCAGGTCCTCAAATGATGGGGGATTTGGGAGAGAAGGGAGAAGTAGTGCAGGTGTGAGCCTCCCTTTCATGCTGATACGACGGGGATTAAGGCTGGCGAGGCTGATAAAGAACAAATTTACTCCCTGGTCTTAAGTCCTGTGTCATAGGTCCCCAAAACATGATACAGTGTTTGGGAATTGGAGTGAAGTGCCTAGTGGCCATGACTGTGACCATGAGAGAAGCCATGGAATCATACAGTGAACACCTTCATAAAGGAACAAGTAGTCTCATAAGCATTATCGGTAAGAACACCTGTCATAAATTTTGCTGTTTATTGAGGTGGGCCTGTTTTTATAACACGTGTTTCATACTTGTACCCAACTTTTATTGAAGCAGGGGGAGATAGGAATGCAGTAACATCTTGTATTTCCTGAAAATCTTGAAACTGCTTTGGGGAGCACTTTTTTGTTTCTTTTCTGTAGCTGGTTTACATGTAATATTTATAAGATACATTTACTGCTGAGAAATTAATATGGCACTTATCATTTTGTACAAGCAGTACTATAAAGTGGTTAAAACATTTTGAAAAGTGACCTGTGGGAAAGGAAAGCTACATTTTGTAAAAGTGGTTTTTTTGATGGGGATGTCTTGTCATGAAACAGTAATCCACATGCCATTAGAGTCTTGTGGAAAATATGTGACCAAAAGTAAGTAATGGCTTTTACTGCTGCAGACTGCACAGTAGCAAACACACAGACCCTCACAGTGCTGCTTACCCAGAGGAAATCCCATGTCATTTTTGGGGGCTGATCTGTTACATTTGTAATTTGTATAATGTTATCTCTTGATGTTACAGGTATTTTTTATGCTTATTGATACTTTTTCTCCAGAGTTAGTTAAAAGGTACAGATGGCAGCAATAGGGTTAGGGATAGAACACAGAACTAATGACACATAGTTTACTAACATTCATCAAGTAGAAGCACAGCTTTGTGTGACGGTGTTTTCTAGAATTTCTGAATTCTTTAGATTGTTAGATAAATCCAATGTATCGTAAGTTTCTCATTTGTAGTTGCCCAAAGAAAGAGAAAAGAAACCATTAAAATTGGGCTTATTCAATAAAAGGCTTATTGGCTATGGGATGGTTTTAGATGAGAACTGATACAGGCACTCAGCTTTGTAACCAGGACTGGGTTTGTACCATGTCTTCAGTGTGTCTTCCATAGTGTCAATTTCAACTCATAGGGTGCTCTAGGCTCTCTTCCTATGAGAGCCAGATGAAAGAAGTGCTTCTAGACTTTAAATCTTCATGGTATACCCTCCAGATAATGTTTTCAGAAGCTGAGAACTTGCTCTCATTTGGTCAAATTGGATCATATTCCATCTCAATTTGGGGCCAGTGGAATCGGACTTGCTGATTGCCTAGAGTCAATTATGGCTGGTCTGTTATGTGGAGGATGGGGTCAGCTGCATATGATAGCTGCATGGTTGAGAATAGGACAGAATGAGTTTCCCAAAGGAAAAGTTTTGCTTCTGTTTCTGGGAAAAAGGATGGAGGCTGAAGATGACAAATGAATGAGCACTAGTGATGACAGTATTTTGTAAAAGACCATTGCAGGTTTCACCCATCTCAGCGGGTAGATGTCAGTGTTTTGTTTTTTTGAAATGGAGTCTCACTGTTGCCCAGGCTGGAGTACAGTTCACAGATCTTGGTTCACTGCAACCCCCGCTTCCTGGGTTCAAGCGATTCTCCTGCGTCAGCCTCCCGAATAGCTGGTACTAAAGGCATATGCCACCATGCCCAGCTCATTTTTTTATTTTTGTTTTTGTTTATTTAGTAGAAACGGGGTTTCACCACATTGGACAGGCTGGTCTCAAACTCCTGACCTTGTGATCTGCCTGCCTTGGCCTCCCAAAGTGCTGGGATTACAAGTGTGCGCCACTGCGCCTGGCCGTGTGATCTTTTTATATGATTATGCTCTTTTTATGACTTGTTTCTTGATTACTCTTATCTCAAATATTCCTTTTATAAAAACACTTTAAACCATTTTGTATAGGTAGTTGAATCATGTATGCATCAAAATGGAATGTAAGGATTCCTGTTAAAGGGAGATTTTTTAGTCGTTGTCATGAGTCACTTTTGATTACCTTTCTGTGAGATTGCTGCATTCCACATATTACAGAGTAGCCACTGGCATATTCTATCCACAAGCATATTTTCTTTTCACTCGTGGCCCAGCAATGTAAAAATTTTGTGACTTTTTGTTTCTTGAAAAGTAAGGAAATAATTGACTAGAGCTAAGAGTCCTTTGGCCTCTCTTGGTTAGGCATAGGCTCTCAGCACACCATTGTCATTAGCTTCCCCTGTTCTTCACAGTTGTGTTCACAGTGCCTTCTGCAGGCCCCTGAGTTGTAAGCCTTGATGGGCACCCTGAACACTGGTGTGCCTGCACCATTGCTTTATCTACAAAAGGAGGTGGAAAGTCCTTTTAGGAGGTGATCTGTTATAGTTGTAATTTGTATAATGTTATCTCTTGATGTTAAAGGTGTTTTTCATATTGATTGATACTTTTTCTCCAGAGTTAGTTAAAAGCTATAGATGGCAGCCATAGGTTTAAGGATAGAACACAGAACTAATGACACATACTTGACTAACATCATCAGGTATAAGCACAGCTTTGTGTGAGGGTGTTTTCTAGAATTTCTGAATTCTTTAGATTACACTGTTAGAATAATCTAAAGATTACTGTTGCCCACCTACACTACTGCTAGTGATCTCTGGGAAGTTTCTGCGTTAATTTATTATTGCCAGTGGTCTGCCACTTGGTTTTTAGTTATTATTCTGGACCTGAAAGTTCTAATAGGCAGTAACTGTTACTCAACTCTTGCTTCACAATATCTTTATCGACATTACATGTTGTTTCCTGAAAAATCTTTTGCGTTGCTATTCTGCTTTAGCACAGGTTTACAAAGGCATTTCTTGGTGCTACTCACTTCTCTTTTTTATTTTCATTTTTTAAGGGGGCCCAGTCGGGGACATTTAAAACCCTAGTATTTACTCATTTGTCCTGGCCAATGTAAGTTGTAAAGAATAAACACAGCCTTTTTTTTTTTTTTTTTTTTTTTTTTTTTAACCAAGCACATTTGTGATAGCAGAGCAATTTTCGTTTTTTACTTTTTGAGAGAGGCCAATTGATCCAGAATTGGAAACTGTTAGTGCAGTGGAAAGTAGATATTGAGGGGGAACAAACCTGTTTAGCTCTTCCTCAATTTAGGGTATTTTTTGGTGAGTTTTGCCTAAAATATTGATGAGGGTATAGAGCATATGAAGTACTTTTGTTTCTTTTCTTTTTCTTTTTTCTTTCTTTCTTTTTTTTTTTTTTTTCGACACAGGGTCTTGCTCTATTGCTTAGGCTGGAGTGCAGTAGCACAATCATGGCTCAGTGCAACCTCTGCCTCTTGGGCTCAGGTGATCATTCCACCTCAGCCTCCCCAGTAACTGGGACTATATTTGTATGCCACCATGCCTGGGTAATTTTATTTTTGGTGGAGGCAGAGTTTCACCGTGTTGCCTGGGCTGGTCTTGAACTCCTGAACTTAAGTGATCTGCCCACCTTTGCCTCCAAAAGTATTGGGATTATAGGTGTGAGCCACCATGCCCGATCTGCAGTACTTATTCTGAAAAGTCATTAGCAGATAGAATTTTTTAATTCTCTATGTAACTGTCTCCCTTGTATTAGCATGGATAATTGAGCACAGAAAGAAACCACCTATGTCTTGGCTGTGAGGAAATCTGGTAATGTTTTCTCATATGTTGATTATTAAGAAAAAATAGTATTACAAAATTTCTTTATTAGTATATAGACAGTAAAGAATGAAATAGATACAAACGTTACTTATAAAAATATTTTGAAAGAATGTTTGAAAAATGGATGAGTGTCTTCTAGCCAGTTAATAGCAGAGAAATAGTTTAGTTTGAGCAGCTCATAAGCCAGTAACCATATGTCATGTCTCTAGATGTAAAATTCACCTGTTTTTCCAGAAAAGATGATGTGTGAATTTTTGAATTTTCATTTTATGTGTTATTTTGCACAAATTAAATTTTACATTAGAAAAATCAAGTTCATTTGCTTTCTAAGAAAGTGGTCTCCTTTCCTCTTCCCCAGTAGAATAATATATGTTCTAGGGTGCGGGTGTGACTTTTTCACAATCATCTTTTTCCCATACTGTTGAACAGGGGAAGTTGCTAATAACATATGCCAATATTTAGTTTCTCTCAGTAGAGCCTACTTAAAACTATTCTAACACCAGAACCCCAGGCTCATTAAATGGCATAATAAATCTTTGTAGAAGACATATTTAGCATATATCTAGTATCCTCAAAGCGCATCAGAAAAAATTTTTTTCTTGCAAAGTATACAATTAATATCCCTTTTCCTTTGCAGTGCTGTGAAATAAACCAATAAGGGGTTTCTTAAGTGATTTTCTGGGTGTCTGCTTATCTTGCTCTTCAAATCAAGAGAAAACTTGACTTTTTTTTGTTGCAAATAGCCCTCTAGCCCTTCATCAATCTGTGCCTGCTTTTAAGATGGTTTTTAAGGACAGTGTCGAAAACAATTACAGACTAGATTCTTGTGTTTAGAGAAAGATGACGCCTGAGTGAATTGTCTTTGATTACATCCTATTTATTTACTATTTAAATTTCTACATTAACTGATCACACTAGTGGTTATAAACTTAAACTTATTTTAATGGAATAGAATTGAATAATTGTTATGTATTTTTTTATTAACAGAATAGAAAGGTCAGTATTAGGAGAGAAATTACTGATGGATATGTTTTCTTTAATGTTACAAAAAAGGATGGAAACTTACATGAATTTTATTGAACTAAATTGGATAGTAATGATAGAGACGCTACTTATGATGAGGCACATATTTCTTCATTTCTGTTATGTAATTGATGACAACATGCACACATGGTCTTTATTTGGAAGAAGGTAGGAACTCACAAAGTCTCTGTGCTTTCAAGCATTGTATTTCCTCTTTTGGTTTTGGAAGTGTCTAGTTCATTCTGAGCTTTTAATGGGATGTGCAATTTCTTACATAAGATTTCCCTAAATGGCTGGCATAGAAAGAAATAAATAATAGGGTCCAGGCATACATTTGCAGCAGAGAGTAACAGAGTGAATTCTTTCATATACAGCAAGATTTCTTTTGACTGGCAGCTGTAATGATCTTCGGTCTGACTCTTTGTGTAGGGGATTCTGGCAATGTGGTAAGGTACAAAACAGACAAAAAACACGAACACGATGCTGAATATGTTGCGGCTGGATTTCTTTTTGACTGAAGTGGAATTCCGTCTTGACTTAAGGTGGGACTTAAAGATTTTCCTCGTGATAGCAGTATAGAAAATGATTAACAAAAGAAACACAATCCAGAAAGTCCCCACGAAGATGTAGTTTGATGCTTTGTGCCACTTCCGTCCCAGTTCATTTTTCAGTTCTATACATTTTATACGTGTAACCTCCCTAACACTCTGATTGGTCAGAATAATATTTGGAACAGCAAGGAGGAGCATGAGCATCCATACTATCACTGACAGGAGTTTGCTGTAACTCACTGACTGGATGAAAGAAGTCCAAAGAGGCTTTACAATTTTGTAATATCTGTCAAAGCTGATGAGCCCAAAGAACACAATGCTGACATACATGTTGACGTAGAAGAGCACGGCAGAGACCCTGCACACAAATACGTTCAGCTGCCAGGGGCCAAGGCCCGAGTCGCCAAGGATCTTGAAAGGAAAAGTCAGGCTCATTACAAAGTCAGCAATAACAATGTTCTTGAGATAGACAATGAAACTCTTAGAGCTGGGCACGTAAAAGAATATCCATCCTGACACTCCATTGAGTAGGATTCCCGCAATGAAGACCACACAGTACAGCACAGGAATGATCTGCTGAGTGATCAGGATGTTCTGAGAGCAGGATTCATTTGGAGGCTGTGTGGAGGTCGAATTGATCATCTTGTAACTTCTGAAAGCAGAGGCCTGAAAAGATATGTGAACTAGTCACTCACAGGGCACTTATGGCCTCCAAGATACTTCCTGAATAGTAAGGCAGAGAACAATGAATATGTCAAATCTACCAATTTTTGGAGCCAACTTTTTACTCTGTGTAAGTTGGACACTCCTCCCTCCTTCCACCTCTGCTTTTCCCTTTCTTTTGATCTTCCTTTCCTCCCTTCCCTCTCTCTTTCTCCCTTTACCCCCTTCCCCCTTCCTCCTCCTTTCTTTCCCCCTTCTCCCCCCTCCCCTTTCCCTGCCTCTTCCTTCCTTTTCTTCTTCCTTTTTTTTGGGCAATGGAGAGGGAAGAATGGAGCAGACAGGTGGCAGTAAAGAGAAACTGAAGCAGCAGGGCAGTGTGAGAACTTCTAGGTAATGTGGAGAACAGCATGTCCCTAAAATAATAATGGTTCCCTGTAAAACTCCAGAGTTCTAGGAAACTCATTTCGGTATAATCTTAAAAGGTAGTAACTGTAAAAGCAGTATTAATGTCTTATTTTATTCAGAATTCCATGTATCATGTATTTTTTTAAACCTATGTTAGAAATACGATTTTTTTTCTAAAAAGTTTTTATAGATTCATAAAAATCATTCTAAACATTTACATATTAAGTGCTATTCAGACAGATTTTACTTTTTAAAAAGCATACTCTTCATATATGTTGGACATAATTCTGTAACAAGCATACACATTCAAATGTTAACTGATATTATGGGCACCTTTTAAATATTGAGCTTTTCTGTTTTTTTTTTTTCCCATTGAAAAACTGATTTCCATTATTTTTATAAATTAGAAAACAAATAATAAAAAGTGCTTTAAACATCTGAAACATGCTTCCCAAAGTACATTCTACATCTTTACTGTTCAATGTGGTAGCCACTAGCCATGTGTGAGTATTGAGCACTTGAAATATGGCCAGTCCAGATTGAGATGTTCTGTAAGTATAATGTACACTAGACTTTGCAGACTTGGCATGAAAATAATGAAAAATATCTCAATAATTTTAATATTGACCACCTGTTGAAGTAGTATTTTAGAAAAACTATATTAAATATATTGTTAATCTTAAATTTCACCTAATTTTCCTTTTTAAAACTCTGGCTACTAGAAAATTTTAAATTACATATGTGGTTCACATTATGTTTTTATTGGACAGTGCTGTGCTAGGTGTTGTCCAGAAGTTCTATTGTTTAGGAATCCTGTATATTGTTCACTGATATCGGAAGTGTTGATTTAGGGCAGAGGGAAGACTAGAATTAAATTCAAAAGGTTATTTGATACATTGGAACAAATGTTTACTGCCCATCTTATATGTGAGTAATACCAGTATCCTGCCTAAAACCCTTTAGGAGTCTGTCCTTTCCCTTAGCAGCACGTCCTAAGTCCGTAATGTTGAAGTCCCTTCTTGGTCTGCCTCCTGCTTCCTCCACCACCAGCACTGAGTTTCTTCCTTCCTGGGCCCTCCTACCTTCTTTTAGGTTCTGTGATTTCTCTCAGCTTGGATCTTTGCACAGACTTTGATTTGTGTGGAAAACTGTTTCCATACATTCTTGGCTGGCTAACTTCTCTTCCTCCTCAAGGCCTCAGCTTAGCTGTCACCTTCCTTAGGAAACCTCCTCTTTCCAAGACTTGTTTGGGGTGGATTGGGTGTGTGCTTATCATACTGCGTCTTCCTCCTATCATAACACTCCTCTCTCCAGCTGTTTGTCTCTTCCTCTACTACAAACTCCTTCAGAGGAGAAAGAACATGTCATTTTTTTTTTAACCATTGTATTCTTTGCATAATATTTAGGACATTAGATAGTTAAAATATTTGCGAAATAAATGAATATGTGCTCTGGCAATACAAGGCATGAATCCTTCCTCTTAAGATTTATTTAGGGATCATGGGAAAGAAAGATTGTGGAGATAGTGGGTACCTTGATGTCAGAGAATGCATCTTTTTCGTCTGTATTTGTGGTGCCAGCACAGTGCTTATCACAGTGAATGACAAACTAGGTCAATAAATGTAAGCGTGACAAAGGGATGTTTGGAAACACGGAATATGAAATACAGTCATGTTCCACACAAAATTATTACATCCATGTAAACTTGTGTGCTACTTCCTACACAAGAATATCTTCTTTCTGCATATTTTCCTTTCCCGTATGCTTCCCTTTTGCTTTATGGCAAAACTGGCAATATTGATAGCCACTTGATTTTGTCAGTTCTATGGACTTGCTGTAGAAGGAACGAGTACCCCAGATCACTTGCTCCACAAAACCTTTCACTGGCACTATTCTTCCTCTTCCCTCTAGCCTTGTGTGATTGGCTCTGGGCATAGTGGGTTTGTACTCATTTGCTTCTTTGTAGGTCTTCTGTGGCCTTTCTGCTTATCAGCCTGTTTCATATTTTAAATAAGGGAGAGGGAGCACATTTTTTATTTTTAACTGTCTACTGTGACTAAGAGTTTGTGTCTGGTAACTAATTTCTCTGGTAACTGCCTCCTGACAGTTAGATGCATTTTGGTTTAAATGCCAGTCTTGCAGGGCTTGAGAGAATGCATGCTGCTGTATTCCCAGGTCTAATTTGGTTTCCCAGTCCTAGGCACACAACCCTCCAGTGTCTTGTCATTGGTAGACTCTGGTTACTTGTGCGATTCACTTTAGTTTAAAATATAAAATAAACTGTAGATGTTATTTTGAGGAATAGAAATACTAACTGTGTAATATACAATTATATAGTGAAATAGTGAATAATTTCCCAGAAATAATTTATTGAGAGCCAAATTCCTTTCCTTTTAGAAATATAGAAACCACTATTTATAGAAATAGCCAAGAATCCCAGAAATGATTTAATGAGAGACATAATTCCTTTTCTTATAGAAACCCTTATAAAATTATTTCCTCAGAGTCTTGTGTCTTTAATATTTTTGAGGTGCAATATTGCTGCATGTGGCCTGATGCTACAGGTCCAGAACTCTGCTCTCCAATTCCTCAGGGTGCTGGGAATCTGCATGCATATGCCCTGGCCATATACACCATTTCCCTTCACTGCTCCCACCACTTTGAGTTGGATGGAAGGGGCTGGCTGACCTAGGTAAACTTCTAAAGCAGCTTTGCCTCCTGAATGGAGTGAATGCACACAGCTTACCTGGATCCTTTCCCCAGACACTTTACTGTTATTTTGGCAGCTTTGATGCAATTGCAGATGGGACTCCATTTTAGGATGAAAGGTTTAGATATGCTGGTTGGGTGCATCTGCTACGCTGTGCCACTGTCTGGTTTGATACAGCAGAGGCTCAGACCTGGACAAATTTATTCATCTTAAAGGAAAAAACTAAAGATAAATTTGAAGATACTCTTGGTAGTAATTTTTGAACTCTTAAATATTGCTTTTCCTTTTTCTTTTTCTTTTCTTTTCTTTTCTTTTTTTTTTTTTTTAAAGCAGTGGTGTTAATGGTAAGGGCATTCTATCCTATGGGTTCATTCCCAGTAGCCTTTTCTGTAGGGCAGATCAGACCAGTAATAGACTGAGAGATGTGTGGAAAAAGAGCTCTCTTAAGGCAAGTGAGACCAAATTATATATTCAGACCAAAAGGCAGGAATATGTGTTGTATGACAATCAGGGCAAAACCATTCAAAAAGACATGCATCATTTTGACCTTGTAATATCTGCTCAGTCTCCTCTCCTTACCTTCCGTATAGATAGAGATGGTTTAATGTCCTGATATAGGAACCTAAAGAAACTTCAAATCTTTTCACTGATGAAGGAAATAGTTTTATCCTCATGTTGATACAAACAGTGTAAAAATAAATAAGAATCAAAAGAATCAGAAAAGAAGCTCTTGGCGTGCTCAGTAACCTTCCTTTCCCTGCCCACTTCTCACTCAGTTGATTCACTGTTTCTTACCAGCTCATGCCAGTCCATTAAAAATGAGAGGTAGGCAACAGCAAAAATATTAAGAGATGAACAAGACTTCTGGATGATGATTAACTGGATTACTGGGTAAGCAGGCATTCTGGTGAGCCAGTTTGTGTAGGTGTCTGTCTGTGGAGCCCTGCTCATTGATAGTTACTTCTGATGTTATCATTGAATTTCTTTAGTGAAAGTTGTCATTATGTTAACCTTGAAGCTTTAGAAATATAAACAATGCTTCAAAATTCTAGAGATCACATTTAAGAAAGATTTATATATATAGCTAAACTTTTTAAAAAGGGTTACTGTAACAGTGTAAGTCTTAAAATTTTCTTAGGTGAAACTCTGCCTTGTTTCACAAATCTAGATACATGAGAATGAAGTGGTCTGAAATGTCTTAGCCTATATTGTCTACTAACACTTTTGTAACATACTATCGTCTTTGGTAACATAATTAAAGAACATAGCAGAATGAGATTTATGAGGCCAAAAGACAGTTATTAAAGTGTAGTAGGAGCATTTTGTAGATTGCTTTCCTTCTACCAATTTTTATTTGCACAGCTAGAAAGAATGTCAGTGCCAAGATTCAATCTGATTTAGATGGTGGGTGCGCTTGTCCCTTAGCACAGTGTAATACCTTAAGATTGTGCTGCATGAGGTGTTTTCAAGTTGTCATGTATTACTTATAACCTCAGGGTTCTCACTTTGGACAGAAGTTAATTGATACAAGGCTATGCAAAGCAGTGCTCACTCCAGAAATACATTAATCTTAATGAAAGCATGCTTAGTCAGCTCTGGGTTCATTAATCATCTGTGTAATTGTATACCATGACCTATTTTCCTCTTGTATTAGACCACCTCCTACCATTCTAATTGTGAGCTGTAAGTTCTTCTCTAAAGAAAAGAATTATTCCTTCATAGCACTTTGATGAAATCAATAACGCTCTTGATAGTACTTGAGAGATTTAAAAAATTACCTTTTTAAATTTTTTTGCATAATATGAAGTCTTTTTTCAATGAAGTAATTTTGCCCAGTGAGTGCTTGTCGTCTTGAAGTGGCCAAAGTGATTTTTCTTTGAAGATCCTGCATTACAGGAAAGGAAAAAACCAACAAACAAGAATTAAGTGAGCACCAGACTTTCTATTGGGGAAATATGTCTGTACTTCTTAAATTCCAACTTGTATAATTGTGAAATATTTCAACATGTGCATTTGTTGTTTCATTGTACTTGTTATTTGTTGTCAGTATTGATAATTATTGATTTGGTTGCAGCCTCTTGTGGGAACTTAAACCCTTTGAGAGCTTGGACATGAAGTGGTTTTGGTTATTGGTTTATATTTCACCCCTCCCTTGGATATGGATGCTCAAATCAGTTTATTAAATGACTGAATATAACAATCCATAATCTTGGCCAAGAAATCATAGGTCTGATTGCAGGTGGGTTTTTCCATTGTTTGTTTTTTAAAAACCTTTGTCTTATTGACATTTTGGGCCAGCTAATTATTTGTTTTGGGGAGCTGTCCTCTGCATTGTAAGGTGTTTAGCAGCATTTCTGACTTCTGCCTACTAGACACCAGAAACCCCCTGCCTAAGTTCGGGTAATCAAAAATGTTTCTAGACTTTGCCAGATGTCCTCTGAGGGACAAAATTGCCCTCACTTGATTACCACCAGTCTAGTGAGACTAACGTGTGGACTTTACAGAGATAACACCTGAAAGCCATGTGGTCTGCTAGGAAGAAGATAGGTTTAAGCAAAAGCATGATTGGATTTGGTTCTATCTTGGTCTAGGTTTTCATATTTCTGAATTCTTTAAATCAGTGCTCTTCAAACTTTAATGTGCATACACATTACCTGAGATCTTGCTAAAATGAGGACTGAGATTCCTTATGTCTGGAGTTTAGCATGTGTTATGGTTTGGCTCTGTGTCCTCACCCAAATCTGATTTTGTAGCTCCCATATTTCCCATGTGTTGTGGGAGGGACCCAGTGGGAGATGATAGAATTATGGGGGTGGGTATATCTGTGCTGTTCTCATGATAGTGAATGGGTCTCACGAGATCTGATGGTTTTTAAAAATGGGAGTTGCCCCGCACAAGCTCTCTTCTCTTGGCTGCTGCCATGTGAGACGTACTCTTCACCTTCCACCATGATTGTGAGGCCTCCTGCCACATGGAATGGTAAGTCCCATAAACCTCTTTTATTTGTAAATTGTCCTGTTTCAGGTATGTCTTTATCCGCAGCATGAAAATGGACTAATACAATAAATTGGTACCAGTAGAGTGAGATGTTGCTGAAAAGATACCTGAAAATGTGGAAGTGTCTTTGGAACTGGGTAACAGGCAGAGGCTGGAACAGTTTGGAGGGCATAGAAGAAGACAGGAAAATGTGGGAAAGTTTGAAACTTCCTAGAGACTTGTTGAATGGCTTTGCCCAAAATGTTGATAGTGATAGGGACTATAAAGTTCAGGCTGAAGTGGTCTCAGGTGGAAATGAGGAACTTCTTGGGAACTGGAGCAAAAGTCACTCTTAATATGTCTTAGCAAAGAGACTGGTGGCATTTTGCCCTTACCCTAGAGATTGTGGAACTTTAAACTTGAGGGAGGTGATTTAGGGTATCTAGTGGAAGAAATTTCTAAGCAGCAAAGCATTCAAGAGGTGACTTGGGTGCTGTTAAAGGCATTCGGTTTTATAAGGGAAGCCGAGCATAAATGTTCAGAAAATTTTCAGCCTGACAATGTGAAAGAAAAGAAAATCCCATTTTCTGATGAGAAATTCAAGCTGGGTATGCAACAATGAGCTGAAAGTTAATCCCCAAGACAATGGAAAAATGTATCCAGGGCATGTCAGAGGTCTTCATGGCAGCCCATTCTTCTAGGCCCAGAGGCCTAGAAGAAAAAGGCGACTTTGTGGGCCCCAGCTTGGGTCTCTGTGCTGTGTGCAGCCTAGGGACTTGGTGTGCTGTGTCCCTTGGTGTGCTGTGTCCCTTGGTGTGCTGTGTCCCTTGGTGTGCTGCTCTAGTGTGGCTGAAAGGGGCCGACATAGGGCTTGAGCCATGGCTTCAAAGGATGCAAGCCTCAAGCCTTGGCAGCCTCCATGTGGTGTTGAGCCTGCGATTGCACAGAAGTCAAGAAATTGGGTTTGACGACCTCCACCTAGATTTCAGAAGATGTGTGGAAATGCCTGGATGTCTGGGCAGAGGTTTGCTGCGGGGGCAGGGCTCTTATGGAGAACCTCTGCTAGGGCAGTATGGAAGGGAAATGTGGGGCCAGAGCCCCCACACAGAGTTCCTACTGGGGCACCATCTAGTGGAGCTGTGAGAGGAGGGCCACCATCTTCCGGACTCCAGAATGGTAGACCCACCGACAGCTTGCACCATTGGCCTGAAAAAACTGCATATACACTCAGTGCCAGGCCATGAAACAGCCAGGAAGGTGGCTGTATCCTGCAAAGCCACAGGAGTGGAGCTGCCCAAGACCATGGGAACCCACCTCTTGCATTGTGTGACCTGTGTGTGAGACATGGTGTCAAAGGAGACCATTTTGGAGCTTTAAGATTTGACTACCCTGCCAGATTTTGGATTTAGGTGGGGCTTGTAGCCTCGTTGTGTTGGCCAGTTCCTCTCATTTAGAATGGCTGTATTTACCCAATGCCTGTACCCCCATTGTATCTAGGACGTAACTAACTTGCTTTTGATTTTGCAGGCTCATAGGCAGAAGGGACTTGCCTTGTCTCAGATGATACTTTGGACTGTGGACTTGTGAGTTAATGCTGAAATGAATTGAGACATTGGGGAACTGTTGGGAAGACATGATTCGTTTTGAAATGTAAAGATGTGAGATTTGGGAGGGGCCAGGGATGGAAGATATGGTTTGGCTCTGTGTCCCCACTCAACTCTCATCTTGTGTCTCCCATAACTGCCATGTGTTATGGGAGGGACCTGGTGGGAGATGATTGAATAATGGGAGTAGGTCTTTCTGTGCTGTTCTTGTGATAGTGAATGGGTCTCATGAGATCTGATGGTTTTAAAAATGGGAGTTGTCCTGAACAAGCTCTCTTTCCTTATCTGCTGCCATGTGAGATGTGCCTTTCACCTTCTACCATGATTGTGAGGCCTCCTCAGCCATGTGGAACTGTAAGTCCAGTCAACCTCTTTCTTTTGTAAATTTCCCAGTCTCAAGTATGTCTTTATCAGCAGTGTGAAAATAGCTAATACAGCATCATATGCTGCTGTCCCATGTACTACTCTGTGAGTTAGCTAAATGGTGATGAGAGTGAAATATTTTTGTTGTAGTTGGGACTTTAGACAAAAATTATATTCCAGGTAGCCCTGAAATCTAGGATCTTTGACCAAGTTTATTCATTACATTTCATCATAATCTTCCAATCCTTATAGTCTCTTGGAAATATAAATAAGTATTTTATACCTATTTGAGAGGTGGTGATTGTGATCATCTTATATTTACTTAGAATGTTTCTAAAAGATCATGAAGTTTTCTTTGGAACAAAGGAGATTAAGTTCTGCATGGAGTAATAATCTCAGTGGCCTAGGGCAGTAGGGAACATGTGCTGATTGTAAATGATATACTCTAATCTCACAACATTGATGCTTTTATTGAAAAGTCAAAAAAAAAAAAAGATGTCAGCGAGATTGTAGAAAAAGAACACTTATATACGTGGGACTGTAAATTAGTTCAGTCCCTATTGAAAGCAGTATAGTGATTTCTCAAAGAACTAAACATAAAATTACCATTTCACCCAGCAGTTCCATTACTGGGTATACACTCAAAGGAAGACAAATTGTTTTACCAAAAAGACAGCTTCACTCACATGTTTATTGTAGCACTATTCACAATAGCAAAGCCATAGAATCAACCTAAGTGCCCCATCAGTGGTGATTGGATAAAGAAAATATAGTACATATACACCATGGAATACTATGCAGCCATGCAAAATAAATCATGTCCTTTGCAGCAACTTGAATGTAGCTAGAGGCCTAAGTGAATTATCCTAAGTGAATTAACACAGATACGAAAAACAAAATACTGCGTATTTTCACTTATAAGTGGGAGCTAAACACTGGATACACATGGACACAAAGGTGGGAACAGTAGACGATGGAGACTCCAAAAGCAGGAAGGTAGGAAGGGGGAAAATGGTAGAAAAACTTACTGTTGGGTTCTGTGTTAACTATTTGGGTGTTAGGTTCAATAGAAGCCCAAAAGGATAGTGTCACACAATATACCCAAGTAACAAATTTGCACATGTAACTGCTAAACCTAAAAGAGAAAAAAGAATATTGCTTACTTCCAGGGAGAGAAGTAGAAGCAAGTGCAGCCTCCTTATACCCAACCAAATACCACGTTTTAACTTACAATTGGGAGTTTGTAAGTGGTAGGGTGGTTGGATTTTGCTGTATCTGTGATATTTTATTTCTTAAATTCTGATTCAAATATGCCTAATGTTACTGTCTGTTAACACTGGTGACTCGTACATTGGTGTTACCAACATTAGTGTCTGCACTTTTGTTTTTGTATATTTAAATTATTTCATAATTAGAAATAAAAGTATCTGTGAAGAATGGATGGCCTTCAAAAAATCCTTTTATCAGTACCCACTTATGATGTGCATTTTTCTTCCTGTTCTTTGTTCAGTTCCTATAAAGGCACAACTTTTATATTCTTTTTCCTTCCTCTCAGTCCAGACATCAAAAGCTTTAATACATGATGCTCCGGACCTTTTTCTGTGAGATAAATACTTGATTTCTAGCTGATTGTTTGTCAGTAGAAAATAGGATAGGTGTATGTAATCATTGTATACATTTCTAAACTTACTAAAGCCATTTTCTTGCCACTTTAATCTCTCTTGCCCTAATGTGTAACACTTTTTTTTTTGATGCCTGTGTGATCTCCTACATAGTTTTCATAGTATTTATGTGTCATATATTTATAGTCATGTTATTACATCTTATGTTGTTAAAATAACTTACAGCATTTTATATATTTAAAATATTTTATATCTTTAAAATATTTCATATTATTTACTAGAGTTACTTAATTCTGTCTGTCACAAGACTCCTAGCCTTGTCCCACGGAAAGCTGAATGTTTTAGAACTTCTTTCACCCTGCCTGTTAGCCCTGGCTTTCTCCCCCAGCACTGTGACTCCTTAGGGCTGGGTAAACAATGTCCTGTGCTTCTAAGTCATAGACCTGTCCACGATGCCAATCAATTTCACAGAAGTTACTGTTCTTTCTCTGTAATTGGTTACATTCCCCTTATTTCTCAGAAATCCTCCTTCTTCTTAGCTCCTGTGTTAGTCTGTTGTCTGCTGCTGTAACAGAATACTACAGATCGAGTCATTTATAAAGAAATGAAATGAATTTGGCTCACGGTTCTGGATTCTGTGAAGCCCAGGATGGAGGGGAGGAATCTGGCGAGTCTTCCTGCTGCGTCATGGTGGAAGGGCAAGTGAGCATGCAAGACTGAGAGAAAAAGAGGGCCAGCTTCTGTGATAGTATCATTAATTTGTTCATGAGGCCTTTGCCCTCGTGACTGAATCATCTCTTAAAGGTCCTGCCTCTTAATGCCATCACAGTGGCAAATCAGTTTCAAGTGGATTTTGAAAGGGACACTGAAACCATTGCAGCTTTCTGTCAGATCCTGCCAGTGGCTGTCTCATCCCTGGGCACTCTTGCCTGTGCATTCCTGGGCACTCTTGCCTGTGCCCTCTCTAGGCTCAATCAAGGAGAATCTCACTTTCTCCTTCACCCAGAAGAAGGACCCCTCCCACCCCTTATCTTTTTTCATCACCCAGAGCATTAAATGTTTGACACTCACCACACTTCTCAGAAGCTGTCAGGGACCTAATTTCTAAGTCTGTTGTCTTTTTCTCAGTTATCCTGTTTCGTGACCTCTTTGCAGCATTAGATATCATTGATTTCCCCTTGTCGAAATCTTCTATTTCTAAAGTACATTGTAACCTTTGGCTCCTCTTTATCCCTGATATTTCTTCCTTTGCCAAGGCTTTTTTTCATTTTCTCACTAAAGCCATCAGAACTTGCTTGCCGTGACCTGTGGAAACATATCAGGGAACTCTCAGGAAGATTCCAGTCTAGGGGGAGGCTGAACAGAGGGACCATCATTGAAGGAAGCAGCACAGTAACAGAGTGAGCACATATCTAGCTTCAGGAATGGTGGCATCAGGTCAGCCTTCCCGGAGCATGTGATAATGAATACTGACAAATCAGCTGGTTTTAGCTAGGCTAAGAGGGAAGTTGTTTTGGGGTGAGAGAGCTATAGGAACAGGCATCAAGACTGCCACGAGATGCTATCACGGTGGGGGAACATGGATGGCCTAAGATCTTGGGTAATGTGATGAAGCGTTGCCAATGAGTAACCTTTACCACCATTTTGCAGATGAGGAAACGGATGCTTAAAATGGTTACATAACTGATCAAAGGGCAGCTAGCTCGTAGCCGGATAGTATTCAGGCTAATGTCTGCTTGACTTCAAGCCAGGTCTCCCTTGCTCCTAAAAGAACGTGGAGGCAGCATGTTTTATATGAATGTGATCCTGTACACAGGCCCTTCAGCATTTTCCTGGAGTCGCATCTTGAGGAGTCAGCTAGTATTTTCTATTTTTTCAGGAAAGGAATGTGCATGTGTGTACGCTTGAGAGTATATATTATTATTTTTTTTTTATCTGAGTTTAAGGTTCTGCACGATGTGCATGCCTTCAGTTTCTTCAGTTATCTTGCAGAAACTGCAGCATAGAGAACCTTCTTTTTATTTGCCAGTTTCTAAAAGTGTTTAAAATGAGTTTCTGATTTTAACTTTGACCCAGCTTTTTATCTCCACTGACATAAAGAGAGCTATAGAGTCGGACTATCATGAATGCTGATTACAACAAGTAACAGTAACCTATAAATGGTGGAAACTCTTCTGCAGAGAAAAACCCAGATTTGCTGCATCTGGTTTGGATGACACAGGTGGATCCCCTGGGACTCCTGGCACTGCTTGCTGCTCTGCTAGCTGTTATCTGTTACCTTCAGCCAGTTTTCTGTGACATTAGATGTGAGCTCTTGATCAGGTCACTTGATCCTAACTCCTGCTGCTATGACCCATTGACTTTACCTTCAGTTAGAATCCAGGTCAGTGACCAACATGTGCTAATATAATTTAAAATTGGCTGAATGCTGTGGTCACATACTTTCAGTGAGGAGCTGTGCTAAAGTTTTTACATTTAGAAGTATCTGAATGTTCTTAGGCCAAATTGCAGATACCCAAGAACTTCCTCTTCCACCAAAGCATAAACTCAGCCCTCTGTTGATTCCCTCTTGATCTTCCTATTCACAAACTTTACAACCCATGAAGATAAAAGAAATCTGAATTTCTGCTACAAATAGATCCAACTCTCGATTATGCATAGACTAGGGGCTGGATTAGGATGGATTATAAACTGATAATGTCCAAACATAGTCTTTGTTTTCTAACCACTTCCCTCAAAACACTTTTAGCAGAGCTTGTGGCAGAATTGGAGTCTGGCATATTGGGCGTGTCTGAGAACTCCAAACTGTCTTCACTTTGTGATTATGCAGGTGAATCATGGGAGCTGCCAGTGGAGGGTGAGATGTGGCATAGGCACCTCGTGACCTCCGATGGATACGTGGTCATACAGTCTTGCCTAATGCCAAACTTTGGGGGCCAAGAAAATGGCCACCCACTATTAGCCTTTACCCTAGGGACTGTATCTGGGTAGTCAGGATGGACTTGCAAGTTTTCACCTGTAATGTTTGGAATAGTCCAGGGTTTCTCAACTTGGCACTCACTGTTGACTGTGTTTTGGGTTTCAGTTTCATGTGGATAGGCTGTCTTGTGCATTGTTGGTTGTTTAGCCGCATCCCTGGCCTGTATCCACTAGGTGCCAGTAGAACCCCATGATTTGTACAACCAGACTTGTCCCCAGACATTTCTAAATTTTCTTGAGAACCACTGGAATGGCCCCTTAATCATAGGTATATTTGAGATTGTTTTGATACAGGAAGAGAATTTAGCTTTCTTGTTGGGATCAAACCTTAACTGTAATTGAATAACTCATCAGCAATAAGTAATCCATATGCTAAGATCTAGGAATGTGAAGTAGGCTTTATTTACTGCTCTGCTGGAACAGTTTGTAGCATAATGATTACCTGCATACTTGTGGGATGCGGTGGGCCTTGGCTACATGCATGGCTCAATTTCTTAAAAGCTAGGATATTGCAATAATTACTGACTGCCTTTGTGTATCAGTTTTTACATGTCTAAAATGAAGGGGAAGTAGTAGCTACCTCCAGGGTTTCTGTTCCCTTAAGAATCAAATACCTGGTGTGAGGCAGGGTGTGACTCAGTGGGAACACTGCGCATATAGGGAGTGACTCAGCTGATAACAGAATAAACAAATGCCTTTGGGACTCAGTCTCCTAGTCCTTCCCCCAGGGCAGGCTCCTGACAGTTTCCCCTGCTTCTCCAAGTTTATTTAAGTCTCTTCTGTACTGAAATGCAGGGCTGCAGCAGGCACAGTAGACCCTTTGCGGAGTGCTCTGAGCTTCCTCAAGTGTGTGGCCCAGCGGGGCTTGCACACGGGACAAATTGGGAGAGGTTTTGTTTCTGATGACCCCTCTGTTGTGGTCACAGGAAGTGGCACTCAGCAATAGAGCGTATATGGGAAGCACAGAGTGTTTCAGTTCTTATTTAGCAGTCCATACACAAGGCTAATCTTTCATGAGAGTGGCACAAAGCTCTGCATAACTCAAGTTCCTTTTTCTCCTGGAAGGAGGTTGAGCTGCCTGAATTACTGAATTTTTTTCCAGGCTGTTCTTCTGCAGCATTGTTTTGGAATATGTGGTCCTATTCCCTGGGGCCAGGCAAGGAAATGAATCCTTGACCTCTTTTTGCCTCACTGAGATGGTGTTTGCATTTCTCAGGCAAGCAGTACTCAGATCTGCAGATCAAGGGGCTTTTAGACCATTAGTAGTTATTCTTTGCTGTGAAGATGGATACAGATTCCCATTTGTGAGAAAACAACAGCTTTAACTGCTTAGCGAAATATCAACCACTTGTATGTTTGTTCAAGATTAGGCTTATGTAGCCAAAGGAAAAGAATATAAATATCCAGAATTTTAAGTGGGAGTAGAAATACTGGATAGAAGTGATTCCCACACACTTTCTAACCCAAAGTGTTGTTATGTTTCCTCCCATTTTTGTTTATTAATTAATCCCTCTTAGAAGGAACTTTGATTTTAGTAAAACACACTGTGGTAATAACTTATGAGTTGAGCAGTTAAACGATTTTATGTTTCATTAAATAGAGCATACAACAATGGAGCAACTGTTTTAGTTGCAAACTTAGTAGGACTTAAGGGTGAAAGGTGCATTTTTATGTAGCTTGAAGATGGTGTTCAAGTTGTATTTGAAATCAAAGACCTTTACATGAGTCCTAGGCTCACACATTGGGATCTGTTGTTGAATGTACATGTCTTTTTTAGACCTTTGGTGATGTTTCACCTGTCTGATGGATTTCAATAGGAGTCACTTAGGTACAGTGTAAGAAAATAGTCTTATGTCTTGCCCTGCCCCAGGGGGGCTGTTAGATGCCATTTCATTATTGTCTTGGATATAATATCTGTATGTAAAAAAATCTGTTAAACACTTGTTTCTAGTTATACTATACACTGTACTTTGATGCTCATGATGTCCTTGGATTGTGTGAAACATGCCAGGACTTGTTTTGTTTTACTCCATGCTTTTTATTTTTTAAATGCAGCCTTACACCTGCTCCCTTCTAATCTTTCTTTGAACTCTATGTGTTACTGCTTTTCTCTTTAGTATTTTCAGCTTCTCTTTCTGTCTAGAGGCTACTTCCCTTCAAACTTTAAACCTGCTCAAAGTTCTTTTAAAACAAAGTAAAAAATCTGTATGCCCGAAAGTTAGACACCCCAGTAGCTATAAACTTGATCAAGCCATTTTTTTAAAATAACAAAAGTAAAAACCCCCATGCTAATGCAGAAGTGGTGACTTCCCAGTTTCAGTGAGCTCATCTTGTTTTGAACTCTCACTATCCCCTGAAAGGAACCAGCGCTCCTTAAGAGAAATAACTGATTTCAGATCAGACACAGGGAAAGTATAAGCTGAGTTGTGACATCTTTGGGTCAGAAAGCAAGGAAGTGCTCAGACCAATTGGGAAATGCTAAAAAAGGACACAGAAGCCCACTTGAGGGCACTCTTAGATCTGGGGCAATTTGGGTATTAATGAAAATGATAGTAACAGATGAAAATACATTGAAAACCAAAGCAAATTCAGGAGTTTATAGTGACATTAAATGTACAGATTACAAAAAGGTAGGATGCAAATGAGAAAGCTCTTGTTTACAGAAGAATGCTGAATAGTAAAGGTAGAAGAAGGGTAGAATTTAGGACATCACCATTTTGCAACCTCAATGTGATAACTGATTCAGGCAACAATTTTCAATTGTGGCCAAAAGCCACTGGGTGAATGGGTGTGGGAGAATAGGGTCTTTCAGTCCGAAAGCATACTCCCTCGTCATTTAGAGTAATAAAAGGTATACCTCTCAGCAAGGAGATCTGGTGGTCGCTGAATGATGAAACTTACCAAAAATGAGATAATTTGACATTGTGTGCCTCCTGATATGATGCAATTAGATGTATACAGCATAGCTTTGTAATAAACTGTATCAAAAATCTTCAGTGAGCAATCAGACAAATTTAGAACATGGAACATTTGATAAAATAACCAGCCTAGATTCTTTTAAATAAATAAATAAATAAATAAATGCCATGAGAAACAAACAAACATGATGGGCTGGAAGCAGATAGTCCTACATTAAAAGAAACCAAAGAGAAATAACACCATGAATGAGTGGTGATTGTTGATTATGGGGAAAGAGCCATATAAATTGTTTTGAGATAGTTGTGTAAATCTGAATACAGATTCTAGATTAGGTGATATTACTGAATAATAATCTTCCCAGAAATATTAACTGTGTGAGCAAGTAAGAGAATATTTAGAGATGCATA